AATGTGACATATAGAAGAAAAAGGTGAGACAATTATGCAGATCTGTGATGAGATACACACACATGCACACACATTCAGATTGACTCAGAAATGCAGTTAAATTTCCCATTCTGAATCTGTTCCTACCAGGCTTGACACATTAGTATTCCACTGGCAGCTGCCTATAGGTAGTAATATTATTTTGCCTGTAACCGGAGGGAACAATCAAACTAAGCCATTCTCCAACTATAAACCAGGCAAAGTAATTGGGTTTAATTTTAATTTTTGTAATAGCTTTAAATTAATAGAAGCAGCTGCTGCCACAGTGTGTGGGTGTCCTTTTCTATCAGGCATAGGAGAAAAGGGTAGAAAGTAAACAATGTCCATTTAGGACGCAAAGGTTAATATATGTATTTTTCTTATCAAAACTTCAGTTGGCCCTCTCTAGAGCCCCGCCTCTTTTATTTCTCTGACTCTTCCCTTTTCTCCTTTTTTCATTCCTAGATAAAATCTAAATTTGATTAATTTCTGTGTAAAGATGCCTTGTTGGTGTTGAAACAACTGACTCTTCTTTTCCATTGGATCAGAGAACAGATTAATCTGACAAAGTTTTAGAATAGATTAACAGTCCCATAACAACAAGAATTTTGGGGTCCCCCCCCAATAGTTGAGATTTATACCCCTGAAATTAGGATAGTTCTTCTGCTATGGTAGTGAAATTGCAAGACAAGAAACTCATCAAACAAGAAACCCTAAACTTAACTGTGACTGATTCTGTCCAGTGATGTCAGTCTAACACTGGTGGAATTGATTCCGTTACCTCTAAGGACACCCGCATTGTTCCCCAGATTAGGGGATCTTTGGAGTAGGTTTAAGAGGGTTCAATAAAGTAAGCCAATGAGGAAAGCAACAAAAGTAAAGACTCCTGCAGTACCATGAACTTGAAGAACTCATATCTCTTGAAATTCCATGGAGTCCATTGTCTGAGTAAAACTACAAGTTAGTTGTTTTGTTAGAAAGTTTGGTAAATCAAGTGTTAGATTTCAGACAATTAACAACAAGGCAAGAATTTTAAAAAATTAACGAGAGACATACACACAACTCTTTAGATAAGAGTTAAATGAAATGTAAAAGAAACAGTAAGTACTAGCTTGCCCTCCCCCACACTTTTGCCAGTTTAGAAGCCAGTTGGGCAATACACTAATTGAGCAAGACAACAATTAAATAACAATTATTTTTTTAAAATCTTTGAGCTAGAAAACATTTATCTACAACAGTATAATCTGCATGATTGGACAACTAATGAGAGTGATCTGATCTCATCAAAATAAGTTGAACAGTAGAGCCAGAACTTGGGAAAGTTTCTTTTGTTGTTGTTTTTACATCATTCATAGAATTCCCCATTCAGTACAATGGGTGACTTCAGTATTTGGGGAATGGTCATCCAATAGGAACGGCAAAAAAGGAACTTGCCCAAATAACTTTTCAAATCCCTGGCATATATTATTTCAAAATTCTATTAGCATAGCCTGCTTTATGAAAGCATGTGATATTTGTTCTGGAATCAATGTGCTTCTCCATACCAGTTGTTGGCAAATCTAGACATCTGGCTAGCCTGTGTGGGAAAATAATAGATAGGTCGTTGGAATGATATGGCAAGTTTTTGAAATATTTGTTTCTCCATGGTCTTGAAAATATTTATGGTTAAATAACCATCAGGATATTCAGTTACCTTTAAATAAATAAATCAAAGAACAATAAGCAAGAGTCGACCTCTTCATCTATTGGGGTCCAAGAACCAGAGAATAAGAAAAGACACATACTTTTAATTTCATTTTAGTTAATTCTGTCTCTCACAGACTTTATTGTATTTTGTCAGGAAGATTTTAGTTTTTCTTTGCATTCTCCTTAACTGCTTCTAATTGAGAACATGCTATTTTTATAATAGAAAAATTGTTCCTCTTTTTCGTATTAAGCAATGAAAAGCCAAAACTGAGCTTCTGCAGTTGCCTGGTTTCTCGGAACTATTACAGTAGGATGCATTACTATTGTTGTGTCTGTAAATTATATTTTCTTCCCCATCATTACCTGATGGTAGCTGACTTCTACAAACATTAGATGGAACCTGTTTACTATAATGCTTAATTGAATAAGCTAGTGTCTGGAGGATGATAGCATGTTTTTGCCAAATAGGATTGGAGAATTATTGTATTTGATTACAAGACTCGCGTGGAGTCTGTCCAGATAGATAAGGATAGAAAGTCTGTACCCACAGCCAGCCTTCCTAGGGAATAGATCTTTTCTCTCAAGACTGGTAAGTAATTGCATTAAAATTTGGTGGAAGTGCTAAGATATTATACAGACCAAGGCTGTCTCATTTGAATTAACCTTTGCAAACTATATCCACTGGCTGCTTTGGTTTTTCTTATTATTTTCAGTGTATTCACCTGCCTACCCTATTGTCTCCTTATTATATTTGGAGGCATGCTCTGATTTTCTTTACATTTTAGAAAGATCATTTTTTCATTAATATTTAATATTATTTATTATAAATATGAAAACCAAATAAGCAAAATCTGGACTAGTTTGGGCCCTGCCTATCTTTGTGACTGTATCCCCCCTATACTCCTGCATGAGCATTAAGATCTGCCGGGGAGGCCCTCCTTGCAGACCTGCCACTATCTCAAACACAGTTCGTGGGGATGAGGGAGAGGGCCCTTCCAGTGGTGCCCCCCTGCCTTTTGAACGCCCTCCCCAGGGAGATTAGGCAGGCCCCCACATTGTCCTCCTTTCGGAAGAAATTGAAGACTTGGATGTTTGGACAAGCCTTTGAGAATGTGTAACCCCAATGGTCCACTATTAATGATAGCACTGCACTTTTGTCCCATTCCCTAGTTCATAGGCTACAACTTGCACTATCCCATTCCCCTGGTTATGGTTGACCATGTTTTATGACAGTTATCACCATAGGTTATTGGACACTATTTTAAATTTAAATAATTGTTTTATAAGCTTGTGGTTTTATCTTTTATTGTATTGCGTTGTTCCAGGCACATTGTGCCATATGTAAGCTGCCCGAGTCCCTTTGGGGAGATGGAGGTGGGGTACAAAAATAAAATTGTTATTATTATTATTATTATTATTATTATTATTATTATTATTATTATTATTGAATGTGGGAGATACTGTTTTTAAAAAGTGAATGGAATTTTCAAAAAACTATAGCTATAGACATAAAAGTTGTTGGATTTGCTCCTTGCAATCAATGAGAATATGACTTCTTTCACAGAAGACAGAACTTTCATTTTCCATATACTGTATGTAAAGTACTATGGTGATTTTGTTTGACTTTTTCTTCTGTCATCACTGTGTTTGGATATCATGTCATTTTGGCTTAAGTTAGAAGAACATAGGAAAGCTTTCTTGTTACATTTTGCTTGGATTACATATTTGTAAATGAAAGGTGTGGGCTATAAGCCATGTGCAATCTCAGAGTGGTCTCACGGTGCCTCCTCACCCCTCATTCTTCTAAACCAAGAAGGCCATTATTACTTTTCTGGATTTTTAGCCAGGTACATTTTGCTCTGCAGTTGTAATACCACGAGAGTTTTTGAAAACAGAGGGGGAGATTTTTCTTTAAATGAATGGATGATTCCACCCCCAAGTAACAACTGCTATGCCCATAATCATTTTTTGCCATCATGCAAAAATAGGTTGGGGGGGGGGGCTAGTGCATTGTAACGATTTAAGCATTGGACTACAATTTTGGAGATTAGGGTTTGATTCCCCGCTCAGCTATGAAAATCCACTGGTTAATCTTGGCTAAATTATGAACTGCCAACCTCAGAAGAAGACAAAAGGAACCCCCATTGAATAAATGTTGCCAAGAAAACCATGTGATAACCTCACATCGATTTCCCACAAGTTAGAAATGACTTAGAGGCACACAAGTTTGACGAGTGACAGAAATGCAGTCTAACATTCTATCATGACACAGTTAGAAATGAAGCATCTGAATTATGATTAAGGGATTGGTGAAATGTGTTTTTTTGTGTATGGGGTTATTATGTTTTGATATGTTTAATGCTTTTAAATTGTATGTATATGTCTATTGTTTCTAGGGATATTATGTTATGTTTTATTTGGTTTGTATAATGAGGCATTGAATTTTTGCCTAGATGTACGTTGTACACCGCTCTGAGTCCTCTGCGGGGTGAAAAGATAAATAAATAAATAAACAAACAAACAAACAATAAAGTAAAGCAGCTGTTTGGGGGTGAGGCTCCTATAAAGGGGTACTATGAAATCATTGTCATTTAATCAGCTAATATTATATTTGAACTTCAAGACTTAGGGAGAAGTTCTTGTGGTGAAATGTTCTTTTAACTTCTGTGACCAGAATAATGTGGCTAGTGTTAGATGCCCATGGTTTGGGATAGGATTTGCTGGTGGATAGGATTTGCTGTTGTGCTTCAAGCAACAAAGTGTTCAGGGTTGGTTGACATAAATAATAACTACTGTTTTTGCCAAGTAGAATTTGAATAAAAAAGCAATTGTCCAATCTTATTAAATTAAATGAATTTGAATGAGATCTGCTTCAGATTTGTGAGGAATATTTGTCTATTTTCTCTGCTCTGGCCTTGAACATACCAGAAGCTTTTATTGAAAAAGTTATTCTCATTATGGAAGAAAAGACAGGAACTTGTTCTTCTTAATTACAGGAACTTTATCAGCTTCCTGTAATGAAATTGAATTGATTCTGTGTAAATAATTTGCCCATGACATGGTTTTTCATTCATATATTTCTATAAATTCTTCACTATTTATTAACATCCTTAAAAACACATAATAATGGTTATCCCAGAATAACTATAAGCTGTGATAGACAGACACAAAGATGTGTGTTTGGATATAACAGATTATCTTATACCATTTCCACAGAAATATGTGTCCATGTGACTTAGCTATTGCTTTTTAATTTTGTCTAATCCTTATTGTACATGTCTTCTTTTATCTTTTAGGCAAAGGTTGCCATCCAAAAATGTATACTATTATCGTTGCCCTGATCACAGAAAAAACTATGTGATGTCATTTGCTTTCTGCTTTGATCGAGAAGATGACATATACCAGTTCGCTTATTGTTATCCATATACTTACACCCGACTTCAGCATTATCTAGATAACTTACAGAAGAGAAACATGGACTACTGCCGCAGAGAACTTCTGGGACTTAGTGTGGTGAGTAAGCACAATAACGTCTGAAATCTTTTCTTATGACTTCTTGGCCTTAATTGGTGATTAAGTAGTACAACCAAATTCTTTGCTGATAGAGCCAGGTCTATATTTGTTTTTGTTGCTATCAAGGAGATGGACAAAACTGCTACAAAATGTGGATTTGCTTCTACAAATATTAAATGAGAAATCTTCAGAAACCTCAAAGTACTGGCATTACTAGTTGTGTCTTCATCCTCCACCCCCCCTTCCATCTATTCAGCATGGATTGGTCAAAATGTAATGTATGCCTTTGTAATGGAATGTCATGGTTAATGAATTTTCCATTTCTACCTGCCATTATAAAAGATTGTGTCATTTTAGGGTTTTTGGGTTATATGGCTATGTTCTAGAAGCATTCCCTCCTGACGTTTCACCTTCATCTATGACAGGCGTCCTCAGATTCTGAGGATGCCTGCCATAGATACAGGTGAAACGTCAGGAGAGAATGCTTCAAGAAGATGACCATATAGCCTGAAAAACCTACAACAACCCAGTGATTCCGGCCATGAAAGCCTTCGACAATACATTATAAAACATATTTATTAATATACTTTGTTCAGCAGTACCTCTGCCCAGTATGACTAGGCTAACTGAAGTCCAATTTAAAAAAGGGAAATAAATAAATAATGTTTCTTAGTACTTCAGTAGTTCAGTTGCTGGTTTAAGAGAACACGCGCCACAGTTCTATGCAATGCACGTTGGAGGTGTTTCTCGCATGAAGTTGAACTATCAGGTTAAAGAATGACTGGACAATGATGGATTTCTACACAGCCACCTTTAAAACCTGATACCAGGTTGGCATTGGGAAAGAGTCCACCATATATGGGAATGAAGACATTGCAATGTTGTTTTATTAAGCAAGACAAACACTGGTGTGATATTTTACTCCATAACCTCAAGGATTTACGTATTTAATTTAAGAACTATTCAACCCAGAAGCTTCATTGATTAAAGTATCTAGGAAAAAAATTGAAAGTAGAACACTATGGTAGGGGTGGGTTGGCATGAAGAGGTATTGATGTTGGTTAAGCATCTGTCTTAAGAGATATGACATTCTGATCACAGATACAGGTAATTGCTGGTATGCACACCATGTTGAAATTGTGTGTGTGTGTGTGTGTATTCTTTGTTACATCTGAAAACTTTTTAAAAAATCTGTACAAAATTATTATATTGGGATTTTCTAAAGTATAATAAGATGCTTAGGTTTGACACAGTAGGTGTTGTTGATGATGGAAGTGTTTTGTTGTTTTTCTGTCTTCTTGCTTTAGAAATGTATTTTTCTGCAGTAGACATGGGGCTTGAGAAAAGAAGTTGTATGAACTTAAATGGTGGACTGAAGTACTGTACTAATCTGATGGTTCTTTGGGTCTTGGCTGCTATATCTATACAGGGTGAGGCAGCATAACCTCCTTTTTTCAAAACTTAATAAAACCCATTGTATGAATCATAATTTTTTATTTTATTTTTATAATATAGGCACATACCTAAAGTTTTGTTTTATATAGTTTTGAAGATCAAATTAGGTAGGTGACATCCCCCATTGTCCATTCTCCATACACTGAGTAAACCGATTTCTGGCATTTCTCATGACTCTTGCCAGCATAGCAGGCGTTACGTTGGCAATTTCTTCCTGGATGTTGGTCTTCAAATCTTGTAGGGTCCTTGGACAGTTCACATAAACACGGGATTTTAAAAAAAACCCATCACAAGGGGCCAAATCTGGAGAGCGGGCCAGTCACTCCAAATCCGCTTGAAAAGTAGGCCTCAGTGGCAAAAGCACGCTCCTCACTGTTCCAACGCATGATGGCGACTGAACTGTGTCAGGACAAAATTTTATACTCCCGCCTCTCAAACGAGATCACTAGCGCTCCGCTACGTCTTCAACCGACTGAATGGCGCGCATTTTAAAAAAGGAAGTTATGCTGCCTCACCCTGTATTTCGTGTAATGCATATGTAATGTTAACGTAAGTATTTGCAATAGAAGGTATTTTATCAACTATCCTAGTCTGTGTAAGAAACAAGTTACTCTATATACTCATAGAACAGTCTAGAAATTTTAGTCAAAAAGCCCCCCCCCAAAAAAAAACCCCCCACTGGATTGACTTCATCCATGGGTCGATGTAACTAGTAGGGAAGGAACCATCCCATTCTCTGAGTAAACAAAAGTCTATCCTGAAAAAAACCTAAAAGAAGGACCATTTGCCACTACTTTCACTGCTGTGGTGCTACTTTTGACTGTTTTGAATGCCTGGGTGAGAAAATGGAAGTAATGGCCAGGAGCAGCTGGTTCCTGGAGGTGTCAATGGTGCTTTCTCCTCTCCACGAAATTACCCTTGGGTCATGGGTCATATCAAAATCCATAATTTTGGCCCCAAAACATTGCAATGTATACATGAAGTCAACTAAGCATGAGTATATACAGTACTACACAGGGTGCAGAACAGCTTTATTGTTCTCAGTGTCTGCCAGAAAATGGAGAAATTGAAATTTATCATCCGTAATAAAAGATTCAGACTAAGGTTATTGTATATAGAGACTGGTGAGGTATTCATAATAGCGCATTAACCGTTTTAGCACATTTATGGATTTTTTTACTCTGAAAAGTTCCTCAGTTAAAACCATAAATACTTTGTGAAGTTCTTTGAAAATTAAAAATGAAAGAACAATACAGAGCATGCAATTCCCATTAGATTGCTCAAATACACAGCACTTACAGAACCAAATGGCACAGATTCTTATTGTAACAATGAAGATAAGCAAGTCCAATTCTACTTTTTATGTTCTGGGGGTCTTTTTTTAGAGAGCTCTCACATTGTCAGTGTGCCAAATGATCTTGATAATAAGCTTGATAGCATGGTAGAAATTCACTGGGAAATTTGTATTTACTGATATGATTATTTTGTCTGCACTGGCTTTGGAAAATACCAGATATAGTAAATATACATTTCTGGACATACTTAAGAATAGCATTTTGATCCGTTTAAAAAGCTCATTTGAACCAAATAATTAAGACAAAAGGGCATGTTTTTTGAGAATTGAGAAAGCTAAGCAGCCAGTCTTTCATTGGTCACAAATATTTTAGCAGTGTTGATATGCTTTTATATGAACATAGCAAATGACAATGTGCTGCGCTGGACTGCTAGGGAATCCTCTGGAGCCACTTTTCATGCTGTTCAAGTGTCACATAGAAGAGCGGAGTGGGAAAATAATTTTGATTTTAGGCCAAATCGTGCAGCCTCTAGCTGGTCCACATTGGTACCTTAGTGGGATACTGCCAGTTAATGCCAGCTGATATAAGCCATTTTTCAGAGGAAGTGACTGGCAAAGCCATCACCATGTATTCCTTTCCCAAGAAGGCCCCTATTCCTGAAAAGGACATGAAGGTACATGCACATAAGCAAAGACAGTGAAGCAAGAGCTATTTCCATCATCACCTAACTAAGATATACTTTTGAAGTCTTCTAATGAGCCCTTTCAAGGAATTGAAATAATATTTGAAAAATGTTCAAATAAAAGGTTAGGAAACGCTGATGAGAAGACTCCTAGATGCAGGAAGTTATTAATATGAAAATCTCAATGACAGGCAGTGTGACTGATATTCTGTTAAAACAAAGCCTGTGCTCCCTATGCTCTATGACTTTAATTATTTTAAAATTGATCTTTTTTAGCTATAGTATGATATTTTGGCTGCCAAGTGATGAAGTGAAAACATCAAGGGTTATTGGGGGCCACAAAACAGAGCAGATGGGCTGCATGTAACCCCCTTGGGCAGAGTGTTACCCATTCTTGCAATAAATGTATAACAAAATAGTTTTCTGGTAGTAAAAACAGGAGGAAATGGCAGCCAACTGCAAAGAGTTATCTGGCACACCACTGGAATATCATCTACCTACAGTTAATTCTGCTGTAAAACCAAAATATGGAACTAGACGACCTTTTAAATCCTTCCAACTGTGTGGCTTTCTGATTATATAATCTACAATAAGTGATTTATTGTGAAAAAGATATATTCAACTTCTTACTCAAATTGTTCTGCCCACTAAATTTGATATTGAAATGTAATACTTGTTTGGCTTTAAGGTTTTCACTGTTGACTTCTGGGTTAGAATGGATCTCTCCTCTCTTATTCCAAATCAACAAATGAGAATGTAAAACAACTATGTACCGGGATTGTGGCACAGCTGGCTGAGTGTCAGCTGCATTAAGATCACTCTGACCAAAGGTCATGAGTTCGAAGCCAGCCTGGGTTGGAGTGGGTTTCCAACCATTGTGTAGCCCGTTGTCAACCTTTGCAACCCAAAAGACAGTTGCATCTGTCAAGTAGGAAAGTAAGGTACCACCTTAAAAAAGTGTGGGGAGGCTAAAATTAACTAATTTATGAGGCCATAAAGAAGCACTCCAGCGGGGAAGCATGCGAGGAATGCGGAGGTACTTAATCAGCGTCGCAGATGGACGATGAAAGCGACAGCTCCCCTGGCGGCCAGAAAAAGTTAAATAACCTCTGTGTAAGTCTGTATATGTCTGTACGTCAAAATTGGCATTGAATGTTTGCCATATATGTGTACACTGTAATCCGCCCTGAGTCCCCTGCGGGGTGAGAAGGACGGAATATAAAACCTGTAAATAAATAAATAATAAATAAATATGTAAGACTAGGGCACAGAGAAGTGGTCAGGTAGTTAGGGTAGGGATGAGGAAGCCCTCCCAATATTGCTGTATTCCAACTTTCTATGACTGATGGGAACTGCAGTTTAACACTATATGGAGGGTCGCACTTTGCCTATCTCAGTTTTAGAGGAATTGAAGGTTTGTGGCTGGATCTGTTTCATCTGGACTGACTGAATCAATTTTCCTGGGACCCTCTCCCCTTCAACCCTTTCTCCAAATGTTGATGGGGCTTATGGAGAAGTATAAATTCCTGAAAATTAGAGACAACTTCTGTCAGTTAGGTTTCCGGCAT